TTCACTGGAATTATTTGGATATTTTTAACTCTGGAATTTCTACTGAACATAAAGTAAAAGGTAGCTGTTAAATTGAAAACTGTTTCATGACATCACAAGGTGGACAAAACACAACTTGAGGCATGTTTTTGATGAGGTAACAATAGTAAACATGGTTTAAAGCTCACAAGAGTCAATTTTGAGTAACATAGAACTTTTAATTAGTTTTCCCCATTTGTTGCCATAGCAGCTTGTCCAGCAAATACCACCAAAAAATGCTGAACTATTAGTATGCTAAAGGTGCATATAATTTTTCTGGTGGTTGATTTCACTACATGCTTGTCTCCTTGACAAAGTTACCAATTTTCCTTGAATGTTCCACTGTACAACATTAAAGTTATCCACTTTGAATTTGCACAATCACAAGTGTTTTTATTGCTAAAATATACTTGGAAAAACATGGATCTGTCCTGTAACCCAGTGTTTTCCAAACTTTTTTTTTCTGGGGACCCATATTTTAAGTCACAAACCTTTGCGACCCAAGTCAATAGACATCATTCGTAAATCACAAAATAAAGGTGGATTTGACCATTACTGAACATTAATGAGGATATTTCATTGTTGACTGAGTGATTGTGTCTATCTGAACAATTAGTATTACTCAACTTTTAAACAATGAAAAACAGTAATAGAACCAGCAATAAAAGGCATCCATAAGTCGCCTATTTAGACATTAAATGTAGCCCATTTCTTTTTCTTTTCAACATTCTATTGAACCTGAAATATTGGAACAAAATAGTCAATAAAATAATAATAAAAAGATTAGAAATTATACAAAAAATGTTTTAACATTCCAACATTTCTATTGAGAAAGGTGGGCCTGTCTGCGTTTTTGCAGCAGAACTGTGTATTGCAGACCTACATGCAGATCGTGACAAGGCAACTCAAAAAAAACCCTCTTGTGACCCAGTCTTTGGGAAACAATGCTCTAACCTGTAACTGGTGTCACTACCTTGTCTCGATAACGATAGATACATTTAATGCTATACTGTGGAACACTCCAGGCCAAGCAATAATGTAATAATAAAGTTTCATAGTGCACCTTTAAGCCCCTAGTTTGACATAGTAGAAAAAAAAAATAACTGGTCCTTTCTCATAAATCCTTTTTGTGTTTAGCCCTTCTTTCTTATTGGCTTCAGGAGTGGAGGGTAAAATGTGTCCTTTACGCTGCTCAGAAGTGGGACACTCTGAGCCAAATGTCACATACAAGTGGCTGCATTCACTTTCTCCTCACGTTCAGTCCAAATACTATCACACTTCTTCACCCGGCCCAGGTTTTTACGGATGAGACTGTGAAAGAAACAATGCCATGAATAAATCAAAATACATAAACATTCATAACACACATAAAAAGGATAAATAAACCATAACTAATATCTATAAATACAACCCAGAACTGTTTTAAAGGTCAGGTAGATGTGCTGAGGGGAAATTACTCTAGCCATTGGATTTCATTTTGACGTGTAATTTCTCAAATGGCTAACATAAGGTGGCATATTGGAATTGTGTTTGTCTCAATCATTCAAAGCTACTTGTCATTTTCACGCTCTGTGCTTCATGTCCGTCCTGGGGCAGTCTGGTCCCTCCACTCTCCTCACAAAAACCTGGACACCACTAACATTTGAGAGGGGGATTTCATTTGTGAGCGTTTATATTATACAAGTGGTTCTCAAACTTTTCACACTGGCTGTCAAGTAGCAGCAGATCTAAACCTGGACTATGACTATATCAGGCCTAAATATGGTCTAATATGAAACTGAACCAGGAATCAAATAAGACGAAACCATGGATATAGTAATTCTAAATAATTTATAACCCAAAGCAGGGCAAAAATATGAATGGATGTATTTATAAATTAAAGCGCTTTGTAACTTTTCTGGTGGATGTTCCGTTAAATGTTTCATGCTATGGTATTAAACGTTTATATCTTCATGGAGACTAAACCAGACCAAGTGACAGGTCAGATCTGTAGAGATACAACCCAGCTAATAGACAAAATGCCTGTTTCTTTAGGTATTTTTGAGCAGTAAAAAACAATTGAATAAATGTAAGGTAGAGCTGTTTAAAGTGTGAAATATTCCAGGCAGAGTAATGGCATATCCATAGAAACAAGCAGGTGACGGAACCCCAACCAAAATGTTCCATAGTACACCTTTAAAGAAATACTCAAACTGCAGAGGGCCTCATGTATCACAGTTTGAGAAACACTATTATGGTAAAAACAGGCTTTGGAATTCAGTGAACCCTTTGAGGTTCTATATCAAGAGCAGAGATAAGCAGAGGTGGAAAGAAACTGGATAATGAAGATTCATATGGGTGGAGCTAAATTGCCCATTGTGAATAAATAAGCAGAAAAATGGTTGTTTGCTTATGTATATGCTATTGCCTCAGCTCCAACCGACCTCTCTTAAGGGTATGTATCTCACTAAGATCCCCAGTAAGTGGTGAAATTTATGCTTTCTACTCAACTTCACTTTTTGATACTGTAAATGAGAAAAATAATTACCTTAGTGGTTCAGTGAAAATAGAAATAGAAGTCAATGCGTACATATGGAAAAAAAAAGAAGCATTTTTGTAGTTGTTTTCAAATATGTACTTCTACATGCTTCTTCTACAGATGGTGTTATTTTTGAACTCTTACCCCTGTGTTTTTTAATGCTACATTTCAATGAAGACTAATTAAAAATACACCTTTGTATATCCAATCTTAAATTACAATCCTGTTACATTATAATTTACACTTTAGAAGTTGAAAATAGATTCACCAAAATGTTTTAGAAGTTAAACTACACAATGTATCTACGTTGTAAAAAGTGCCTCTGTGCGTATGCCTCAAATACTACAAGCTAGAACCTAATTGCTTCATAGATGCCGTTGTAACCCACAATTCCTTTCTGCACCTCTGAGGCACAGTCTGACATTTGGCTACGTTGCTCTCACTGTTCAAACACCTCCCACCTCCATCTCCCCAGATGCCTCCAGCCAATCATCCCGGAAAGTTCAAAGGTCAAACACAAAAAACATGTCAAGTATTATATGACAGTGAACTGTACAAAGCGGCTATCAGGACCTATATGTATGAATTAACTCAACAGCCCAGACCGATGTTAGATTTCATTTAATGTTGTGTTGTGTAGTGTGGATATCACTGCACATGGCAAACTGTAGCCGATATATATGTTTGGAAAATCTGAGGAGGGCAACAATAAGGAGAAATTATGCAATAAAAGAGTGGGGTTTTCCTGGTTAATTAAAGGTGCTTTTTTCATTGGGGGTCAGTCACCTGCTTGTCTCCATGGAGATGATATTTCACCGCATGGCATGAGACTTATTTATCTAGTTTTTTCCTTAATTATAAGTGTTGTTTAGAAGATTCCTTAAGAAGTGTGCATTGTTACTGTGAACAGGGTGCCTCCAGAGTACTGACCTGTAACTTGGCCTGGTGGTTTCGCCTCCTCGTCTATGTCTAGGTCTAGTTTGCACATAATATGATGTCTAATGCCATTCTGTGAAACATTCCAGTGTAAGCAAGTCCAAGCAATACAAAGAGAAAACATTTTTTAAATCCATCAATTGGCTACAGTGCTTATAAAATAATCAAATGTCTGAATTAAATACATAAATGTCAAATGTCTAAATTAAATACATAATTTAAAAAAATGTTAGATTGTTTTAAACTTTACTTTATGTTCTTTCCTTCCTCTTTTTCTTTGTAATATCACAATTTCTAACCTGTCCACGCAGTTGGAGCTCTAAAAGCGTGCTTTAGTGACCCAGCCCGACTGCGGCTCTCCAGTACAAATGCGCTTTATGGAAACTCACTCAATGTCAGGGTGTCAGGCACAAGGGACCAGGAAAGAGACAGTAAAGTACTTCAGTCACAAACTCCAAAACATTTTATTTTTCAGTCTTCGGTTTGTTGCAAATACAAGAATTCATTTCTCAAGTTATGCTGCTTTTGTTGCTTTTGATCCTCTGGTGTGTCTATTTACATGGTAGGAATAAAGTAGATTCTCGTGTGGCTCCTATGTACACGTTATACTGTACCAATGACCAGTGCATCTGTGGCATTTCTGAATTTGGTTTCTCACAACCACACACGGAAACAAGTCCATTTCCAACTGGCTAGGCTGAACACAAAAGTCCTGAGGGTCCGGGAGCATCACACGCTCTCAGGCCCCCATAGTCAACAAATGGAATACTCTCTTAGAAAACAATAGCAATGCAGTCATTTTTAAATGCCTAAAGCAAAGACCAGAGCAGAGCAGAGAGGACAGGCCAGTCTTAGGGAGGGTGCTCTTCAACCTCATCAGATTAGAGTCCATGTTTACCTCCCCTTTTTACATAGTCCCGCCTTCATTATCCATTCACAGCAAAAACATCAAGGCAACTGCACTGAAATGTCCCTCCCTGTACTTTGACCAGAGCCTGTGTCTGATCTTGATAATGAGCACTTCTGATGAGTGGCTGTGTGCACATTTGAGACAGTTCTACTTCCTGTTCTGGCTCAATACAAGATATTTTTGGCAACAATAAAGAGATTTTTGAGTGATGATTTTGTAGGTTACAATTGTGTACTACATGGCCTCTCTCCACAGCTGACTACTCCTATCAGATGAACTATGGACGGTAAGAAAAGGAAAGAAGAAAATACAAAATGATAATTTCATCTCTGGAGGCAGGTTTGAAGATAAATTACATAAAAATCTTAACAAATACATATCTGAAGGTAAAAGGGGTAACAGGTACATTCAGATTGCTGGACTTGGCCTTAGGGAACCACAAGAAAGTGGGGCATACAGGAGAGGGGACACCTCTCCAGCAGGATGGGGGTCAAAAACGCCCCCTAAAGGTCACCTTTAGGTAAATGAGAGTCAGAGATAAAAGGCATCCAAACATCAGAGAGGCGAGGCAGGAGGCGGGCCCATCGCAGTAGTCCCCAGCTTCCTGTTTGGCCGCAGTCACAGGCTCGTGACCAGCTGCATCTGTCCGTCTCCCTCACTGTGGGGGGGCTCTAGAGCAGGGGGGCCATCCCCGCTCGGCCTCCGAGGGGCTGCCTGATAGAAGGTCTGCATTGGAGCCCCGCGAGAGCCCAGGGCGGGCCGTCCCGAGCTGTAGTAGAGCTCCTCGGGGGGCTGTGCGGAGCGTGGCACCACCTCCAGAGGCTCAGGACTGCTGTCGGGGTAGGGCGAGTCTCGCAGGTTAGTGATGCTGGTGTACAGGGAGTCACGAGCAGGGGAGTCTGCCCCCCTGCTGCCCCCCTGTCCCGCCCCACTCTGTCCACTGTTCCCACTGTGCCCCAGGCTCTCAGTGAGGTCGGCCGTATAGCTCTCAGACTCCTCTGCATCGCTCTGGTACAGAACAGACTGGGCCTGCTGCAGTAACAGTGGCTCCTCCAAAGCCTTGTACAGAAGCTCCACGTCCTGCGGGGTGCGCTGGTGCCCCTCTCTGATGAAGTCCTCATCTTCATCCAGGCTCAGAGACTGTTCCACTGGACCCCGGCCCAGCGCAGCATGAGGGCGATTGATGTTAGCACATATCCTGTCCCCCTGATCTCCCCCTCCTCCTCCTCCTCCTACTCCTCCTCCTCCTCTTAAGTTGTTGTGCACAAGTTCGGAGATAATCATCTTTTCAAACGCCGCAGCGTCCGTCAGGTTTCTCCTGGCTCCGCCCCCCAGAGTCTCTGCCCCACGAGGGTTCAGCAAAGGAGGGCTGTTCCTGTCCGCGCTCAGGAAGTCGCAGCTGCCCCCCGCACCAGGCCCTGTGCGCAGGGAGTAGCTGTTGTTGAAGTTACCATTGAGAGGCAGGGTCTCCATCCCACAGGGGTCGCGACCTTTGGACAGCGTGCTCTCTGGACCCAAACACACACAGGACACAGACTCATTATTCCACAGCGGGACAGAAGAACATTTCATTTTAAATATAAGATGAGGCGCTTACAGCAGAGTGAACTGTGGTGAGCTACACTTACTTGGGTCGCGAAAGGTTCCTGTGCATCAAAGGGAAAGTCATGCAAAACAATTAGAAAGTACAAGCTTAGTAAGGGTCTTAAGTACATAGTAAGAGCACATGAACATAATGCATTCAGTTTACAATGTTTCAGATTAACATTAACATCATCATCCACTCGTCACTTTTTCACCCTTACATACAAACATCCACCTGCTGTGGCCCACACAGCCCTGTCCTGTTTTAGTAAAATAACACAAAACTTTGTCTAAGTTTTATATTTATTTACTGTTGTCAGAGAGAAATATGAATGAATAAATGATTGATTCACAGACGCAGTCACAGCAGTGTTTATGCTATCACTCCACCAAACCATATCTCTGTTGAATTATACTGCACCGAGCAGAGCAGGAGCCCTCTCCTTCAGACTGTGAGGATCATGTCTATTGTTAAAATTTAATGCAGAGTTTGACTTTAATCAACGTTCTTCTTCTGGAGTGCACTGGGTAATTAGACATTGTAATGAAGCGCGCCCCACACTTCCTCTCCCACTCAGTTCTAAAAACGTCCTGGCTGCCGTGCCTGTGGCCATCAGGCCTGACGTATTGTGCAGAGAGCCTCTAAAATATTAAATACAAATGCAGCCTTAATTCTCCTCCTCACACTGCTGCTATATCCATGTGTCACTGTATGTTACACCGGACCGCACATGCAGCTGTTCTCAGGGTGCTTATGGTGTAGGCTCTGCCTCCCAAGAGTTACTCTGTGGGTTACCATACACCTGAGCAGTTTCCAATCTATTTTGCCCTATTGTTTAATGACACAACAGGCTCACAGCAGAATTGTAATGGATTGTAAGGAAACCAAATTTTCTACAGGTCACCCAAAACAGAAATAATGCTATTTTATTAAACCATGGTCAGCCATTTTAAATAGACAAGTAATATGTGTTTTGGCTGGAGCACACTCCAGGTTTCACAGAGGCACTGTCATTAAATCGACTTCACTTCCACAAAGAGAGGAAGAAGAAAAGTGTGGCGTATCCTGGCAGGCGCAGCTGTAGCTAAAGTTCCAATCAATTTGTGCCTGTTTTTACCAAGACTGGGGCTCTGGGCAGATGGCGGCAGATTCTGGCAGTGCCTGGCTGTGTTGTGTTTGGTCTAGTGCGTGTGCTTGACAGCTACATCATTTCACAAAAGACACCGGTACACCGGGCACACGGGACCACAGCTGTGTGAATGTACGCCATGTCTCCCCCTGACATACATACATACATACAGACACACATGAGAGAGAGCTATGCAGTGCTAACCGGTGGAGTTGAAGACGCCAGGGGAGGGAGGGGTGAAGCTCTCGGCCAGCAGTGTGTTGTACGGGGAAGTACCGGAGCGCGTCTGCAGCACGGGGTTCGTCAGGAGGTGGTTGCCCATGGTCGCTGTGTAAAAGAAAAACAAACCATAAGTGTGAATCAAATATATGCAAATACAGCCCGTGCTTTCAATAGGTGTAGCAAATTCACAGAGTCAATAATAACATCCGCTATCATAAAAATATTTACTGTTTATTCATTCTGGGGTTATTTTTTATTATGTCGCGCCTTTATAGAGTAATGCATTTCACAGTGTAGCCCTGACTGTTTACGCCTGCTGATTGTAACCTTTGAGTAACAAATAAAATGGCAGCCGACAGGTAATGTTTAAAAGCATTGCCATTCATTTTGATTCTCTCCTTTCCCTTTACTCACAACAATGTAGCCAGATGGGGGGGCAAAAACTGTAATGCATGCCATTATGTAGTCTTGGGGTGCAGCCATTGAAACACAGTTAATTTCACAGTGGAAATGTGAATGCCAACAACACAAGACAAATATAATTCAAAGAAATGGCACAGTGTTGTGTAATGTCCATGTATGTCGGCAGCCGGAGGCAACTGGAATAGAAATGGCATGAAATTAAAAATAGGACAGCATGACGGAGAGTACTCAGAGGCAACCTTCAGGTCTAGTGTGCGCCGTTCATCACAAAGACATCAGCAAATCTAACAAAAAGCAGAAAAATGCGCTGGCACCCCAATATTTATTTATCATTTCCACTCTTCTTTTCGTCTTTTTTGGCACAATCGTACATCTTCTGGCTCGCTCGACTGTGTCTTCAATTAGCTGTGTTCTCAAGCCAGATTTTTAATTTATCCACAACAGAGATCAGGCAGGGATTTGCAGCATGTTTTGTACCTAATAGGAGTGTGTGTACATGAGGCTCTGCAGGGGCTGTACGTAGCTCTAGTTTGATCCAACACAGTGGGGGGTAGCTGGATAAAATACCATGAAAGCATCAGAACAAGGGCCGTGACTAAATGCATAAAATATGAAGCTTTTATGCAAATGTGTGCGAGTCCTTCAAAGTCAGCGTATTGTGTTCAGTTCTATGGCTAGACTCATGTAAAAGCCTAATGAAACTAACGGGACTGAGGAAGAGGTACTCAAAACGTATATGCATGTTTATATAGAAAAGTATTATTTATGTGTAGAACAGCATTCTAAATTTAGAAATACATTTCCTACTACTACTACTACTACTACTACTTCTACTACTGCTACTACTGCTACTACTACTTATACACTACAATTTATCAACAGCAGGAAATAGTATTACTAGACTAACTAAAAATAGTCAGCAATGTAAAATAATGCTTACAACAAAGTGGCTTCTGAAAAGAAAACATATTTACTGATTTCATAGTAAAAACGTACTTACTGGTCCACATTTACCCACGACCAGTTATGTACAGTTACATTAAAGAAAATTTGTCGTATAAAATATACCAGCTGAGCAGTTTGTAGCAGTTTAACTGTACAAAATGTGTGCTTTTGAAAACTTGCGATATCCTTAGCATATTTCAGTATGTTTTACCATAAGATTTTAGTCAGTCCCTCAGGGAGAATTGTGAGATGTTTGCTCGTCTCATCTCATCAAACTGCAGTTCAAACAGGAGTTAAGTGGGAAAATTGCAGTACAATGCTGTAATGACAACACTGGACTTTAACAGGGTTTAAGCCCAATTTATGGTCATGCGTCAAAGAGAATCTGCGTCGCCTTGAACCTTCGCCGCAGAGTGACGTGCACCTCTGAAATTTTGTAACTACACATCGAACCGACACAAACAGTAAGGGAAAGCGACACAAACAATATGGGCTGTGGTTGCTATTCTCTACCATCGCTCTACATACATTTCCGGTACTCTGCTTTCCCGTTTCATTTTGTATACACCATGGATCTATTAAAATAACGTATACATGAACTCCTAGCGCTGTGGCGGTGAATTACTTCGCGGCGCATAGACCTCGACGCAGATCCATACATCAAAAATTATGGTGACAAGGTGACGGTAGCAGTGAGTGTGCATCAATGCAAAACTATAATTCAGCCTTTAGACTTAGATAAACTTGATTGACCCACAAGGGAAATCATTGAATCACAGTAGCTCACAAAAAATATATATTATAATTATAATAACAAAGCAACAATATACATGATAATAATAAATTAAAAATAAGCAGCAAAAATAGCAAGAGACTGGGGTCAAATAAGCCATAATTGTATAAATGTATATGTACATCTTTAAAGAAACTGTATATAAGATTTTAATTTTAAATTAGGCCTTCATTAACGACAAATTCATGATGTTGGAGCCCTCACACTCTAACCGGTGTCTCTCCACTCCCTGACAACAGACAAACTTCTCTCAGTGAAGAAGATGCTCCACGCTGCACTTGTTTGACAGCACAAGACTCCTGGTTGTGTGTCTGCTGATTGCTGTATCGTGACGACCCCCCACCCCCCTCCAACCACACTCCCTGACTCTCATCCATTCTTATCCCAACACATACAACTCCTCTTCCTCACCCATCTTCATCGCCCCCTGCCTCGCTCCTGTCACTCTCCTCAATTAGAATAATTACCCCCTATTCGCTCGCACGCTAATCAGTTCATTAAAAACAAAATGGATGAAATTAGCATACAGAGTGACGGCTGATTTAGCGACTTGCCTGTGTGTCATCGTCAACGGCAACGCTAACCCTTTTCTCAACCTGCTGCTGTTTTTCACTGCAGAGCCTTGATTGTCTATCTATCCAGAGGTGATCGCAGTGTTCAGAAGTGGCATTTTTGCTCGTCTCCAGCTCCCAAATACCAGTGTAGCAGGCTGTGCGGGGGTCAGAGGTCGCTGGTACCTCATTACTGTACATGGATGAGATTGGTGCAAAAGGGGGTTCAGTTGCCACAGGGCTGCGCAGTGCAATCTCAAGTCGGTGTAGTGGATAGATTGAATGTTTGAAATCAATTTAGGGTAATTATATGATCAATTATTGTATTAATATAATATCCGTTATGTCTATGCTACCAAAGGATGCATCTTGAAACAGAATTTTTTGGTTGATTTATTAACATATGGCAGATTTAAAGGCTATTCTCATACTCTGTGTTGTGTTATTCTTGTGTGCATATTGTGATTCAGTTTAACTACAAGTTTTCATTACATTGGTTTATGAGGAAAGTATCTGTAAAGGAAGTGTCTGTGGTGGAAGGTAACAAAGTAAACCAGAAAACTATTATGCTTCAGTATAGATTTTAGATATCTGTACTTAAGTATATTTTAAAGAGGATACTTTTTATTTTTACTTAACTACATTTAAGAACTCCATTTCTACATTTCTGAACCTAATTGAAAAGTAGATGTATTTTTTGTTATTGTGTGAAACCTGCTGAAAAGGCTGAGGGTTTGCAGTTTGAGCAAACAAAAATATACAAATAAAAACAGCTAGATTTTATTGTTAAACATACTTCAGCACAAATCTTATTAAAATCACTACTTTTTAAGTTTTATTAGATCTCAAAATCGGCACAAAATGCTTTTACTTTTAACTCTTTAAGTGCATATTTAAACGGGTACCTTAATACTTTCACTTGTGTCAGTTTTTATGTATATTTATTCTTTTACTTTTACTTGAGTATTTTTATTTTTTCCCTGGTATCTGTACCTTTTACTTTAGTAACAAAATTGCATACTTCTGTCACCAATGACTGACAGCGACTTGAAAGTAAAACCAAAGCAGTAAGAAATGAAAAGCCTTAATGAATCTTGAACATATCTTATATTTAACTCTACTGACCTTATCCAGAGGCAGTGTCCACTATTATCATTCTGGTTGTTGAACGCCCAATTTCAACATCAAATAAGTTCAGTACACAGTTGTTTTCAATCAATCCAGACTAAGAGTGCATTGCTGACTTCTGAGTCCACATCAGCACTGAACATTTTACACACATGAACCTATTTTATATAGTATTTTAGCGGCAAGGCATCTCTATTTTTATCTCTAGCTCTCCACTTGAAACTAACGGGACTCCCGCGGCAACCAAACAGTGTGGGCTAGTAGCAGTCAGAAGTAAAAGTGGGTGGAGAGAAATAAGATGAAAAATATTTTTAAAAGAAGGCACCACAGAGAGCTAATTATGATGTATAAATAATAAGTCGACATGAAAAAAAAGTTGACATAGCGATATATATATAAGACGAATGGTATCTTTTCATTAACACTGCTGTGAGCTCTGCATGTGTATGTGAGTATAGAAGTCCTTGGGAATAGTGGGGTGGAGAAGTCGCTCAAGCAGAAGCAGGAGCACTGACAGAACAGGGGCTCACCGCGGTTGAGCGTCGGGGTGCTGTTGATGTCCCCCGCCATGAACGAAGACTCCGACTGCTTCCGCACCGTGTCGTTCCACATCCGACGAATCCGGCTCTGGAACAACGAGCAGGCCGAAACAGAGAGAGAGGGAGGAGGGGAGGGAGGGTGGAAGAGAGAAACAGGGGGAAGGAAAGAAAGCAGGAGAGAGGTGGGGAAGAGAAAGAGAGAGGGGATGGAGGAAGAGAATGGGGGAGAGAGAAAGAAAGTGAAAGGTGAAGGGAGAAAGAGAGAGGGGGTAGGGAGAGACAGAGGGAGGGGGGTAAGAAAAGAGAGGTTGAGAGGTAAAGGTAGAGAGAGAGAGAAAGACAGGGGGAGGTAGAAAGATGTAGAGAGAAGTAGAGAAAAGTAGAATGATGTAGAGAGAGGAAGAGAGATGTAGAGGGATGTAGAGAGAAGTAGAGAGATGTAGGAAAGGTAGAGAGATGTAAAGAGAGGTAGACAGAAGTAGAGAGATGTAGAGAGAGGTAGACAGAAGTAGAGAAAGGTAGAGAGAGCGTGAGAGGTAGAGAGAAGTACAGAGAGAGGTAGAGAGGAAGATAGAGAGGTAAAGAGAGAAAGAAAAAGATGTAGAGAGAGAGTGAGATGGAAAGAGAAAGGTGTAGTGGTAGAGAGAGGCAGAGAAATGATAGAGGCAAAGAGAGAAAGAGGTAGAGAGAGAGGTTACAGAGATGTGGAGAGGTAGAGAGAAATAGAGAGAGGTGGTAGGGGTAAAAATGTAAAGAGGGAGAGAAATAGAAAAAGAAAGAGAGAGAGGCAATGAGAGAGAAAGAAATAGTGGGAGGGAGACAGACAGAGAGACAGACACAGACACGAAAAAAGACAAGTTATCCACATACAGTAGGAAGTTGGCCGCTAGACTTTGTAACTCAGTGGGGCTGCTGTAATCAGAACTGCGGGGGTCGCTCTAATCCGCTAAGAACAATGGCAAACAAGGCAGAGAGCAGCGGTGGAGAGGGAGAGGCGAAATGTCGAAGGAGGCGCGATGTTGTGTCACCTTATCAAGAGGGGCCTAATAATCGGGAGAAGTCTGACACGATTGCAACAGCAGATACATTTGTAGTGAGGTCGGGGCTTATTACAGGAAGCCTTTGTTTGTTTGTGAGAATAGACCGGGGTGTATGTGGGGCGCAGCATGTTGTACAGTAATTCCACATTTGGTGCCAGTTTCTATCTATAATGCAGCGACTTCAATGATATTTTTGCTAATGAGTCATCTAGCTGAATGAACGCAGCTGACGGTTAATACCACATAAAAGCAAATCACAGGAGTATCGAGCAGATTAGGGCAAATACACATTTTCTGAAATTTACAGCAAAAGCGTTTGGATATTTCAGAAGGAGATGAAACATTAGATTTGCGTCATGCAGGGTGTAATCAGTCATTGATATTATTTGTGATACTTGAAAAAAATATCTGTGTAGCATATATCAGCAGGATATTTCTTTGTTTTTTATACGCCTATTCATTTTGTCCAAGCTTGGAAATAAGTTAAGATAGCATCAGGAGATTTTTCATTTCATTGTACTGAGGCAACTCCATTTCCTGTGAAGAAATTATTTTGACACACAAGCAGATTTGGTTTTGTTCGGTCGAAGAAAAAGGAATAAACAACCTTATACCTCAGTGGGGATGAGAGTGGCCAAGAAAAAGGCGACATATGTGCCCAAACCAGTCTTTTATAATACAATAGAAATCTATTATTTTTAGACCTATCAGGCATAACCTTTCATTCACATTTATTAGGCTGTGGAGGTGAAATGTTGTGCGAGGAAAAAATAAGGTTTGAAATGATTTGATTAGGTCAGAGTATCCCAAAACTGAAGCTACTGAAAATGTTTCTTTCACAGGGGTGTTATAATTTAAGGTGCACTATGTAACTTTTCTAGTGGAATGTCAACTGCTTGTCTCCATGGAGATATTATTGCGCTGCCTAGAATGTTCCACAGTATGGCATCAAACATATCTTCATAGAAAGAAGAAGCGTGTAGTGCTACCACGCCGAGTTACTGGTCAGATCTGTAGAGAAGTGACCCTACTTGCAGTGAGAATGCATACAGCAAAACATCTGCAATTGAATAAATGCAAAATAGATATGTTTAATGCCATACTCTGAAACATTTCGCACAAAGCAACAACATCTCCGTGGATATAAGCACATAGGGGACGAGTCACCAGAAAAGTTGCATAGCGCATAGTTTTGAGATACATTTCTGTTGTTGTTATGCTATTGAAATATACTGTCCTTTAAGAGTCTGGAGTTGGCTATATGACTGCAGACAGGTTCGGAGTGTATTTACCTGTCTGTGTGCGGCTGCGTGGCGGGCCTGGCTCCCGCTGTAGTAGCGGTTGTTGGTGCGGAGGCCGGAGTTCTTGAGCGAGCCATGGGAGCTGCTGGTGGATGTGCGACTGCAGCAGTACGAGTGACGCAGACACTTACTGTACTCCTTATGGACCTGCAGAAAACAGGGCTGCACTCGTAAACACAAACACTTTCAGTAGCATGAGGAGAAGCTTTTAACACGTAGCTACAGCGAAGTGTACTTAATGCAATAGGAGCTGTATGAATAAGACATGCATACAGGCATGCCACACTGTTACCTCTGTATACTTTGGACAATGTTGTATTTTAGTGTGTTGTATTTGTTTGAAAGAAAGTTTATAATAGCACTGTACACTGCAAAAATTTTAATCTAGCCAAGTTAACATTGCTTGAATTAAATTTGTTTTTAAACACGATTTGTGCAAATTTCACTTGACAAGTAAAATGATCTACCAATGGAACAAGGCTTTTTGTATCTAAAATATGAAAATACATCTTGCTACACTTAAGATAAAAAAAATAAAAATAAATAACAACTCTTTGTACTTAAAATAAGAAACAAAATCTAATGTTACCTGAAAAAAAAAACCAACACACTTATTCCACTGGTAGATAATTTTACTTGTCAAGCTGAATCCACGCAAATAAAGTAAAAAGCTCTTAACTGAAGTCTTTCTTAGATATTGCTTTTTGCAGTGTAGGGATTGTTCAATATTGATTTTTTGTCAGTACTGATGTCTTCTTTGTTGTTGCAGTCAAATTAATGTTTTCCTTTGTATTTTCTCTGATATAATAGATTTTTTATGATTATGTAAACACACAGCAACCCCTCCATTTCCACTAGGAATAGAAACAAAGGTTAGGAAAAGTATTGTCTCTTTTATCGATGCCTATAAAGCAGCCCATAATATAACCAATATTATAACGCACAGCTATAATAATAAGACTCATTTGCACTACTGTTCACTACCACTTAAACCAGGCGTGCCAACATCTTGCAACATATTCAACGGGGTGGGCCACAGACAAGTGATTCAAATGGATACATTTTGACTTGGAACATTAACTGTACATCTATATTATAATGCAATGTAATGTTATTGATGTTACAGTGTTAGAAATGACTTAAATTTGCTGTAAAAATATAATATGATCTGTAATAAATTGGGACGTTTCAGCAGAAGGCCTGAGAGCTAACGACAATTGGTCTGGGCCATAGTTTTGACACTCTTGACTTAAATATATTTTTAAATAACAAGAATATAGTGCTTCATTCTCTAATAATATGGATAATCTAACAAACCAGCAGCACATCTTACTTATGCCAGATGTTTAAGTAAAGTGGGGCAATGTCTGGTGTTGAGTGTCTAATAATAGTAAGATATAAACTATGATAAGATAAAAGAAGGCATGCATAAAATAATGAGTTCACAAAAGCAGATTTAAGGCAGTACCTTCTTCTGCAGAGCACAGTGGAAGATGAAGATGAACATGCCCTGGAAAGCATTGAAGGTGGTGAAGAGGTAGGCCATGATCACTGTGTTCTCATTGATGAAGAGGAGCCCAAACGCCCAAGTCAACCCCAGGAGGAAGAGCAGGGTGATGGCCCCAAGTGCCCAGGATCTGAAGAGGAAATAGCTGTTAATTTTATTGCCATGGCATTATTTAACCCTATGTAACAACACCTGCTAAACTGACAAACAACATTGCTTTGCTATTTTCTTACAAATGGGAAAACATTGATTGATTAGCTAATAGCATGTTGTAGTATTGCGCTCCCATTGTTTAGCAAACCCACTCGTCAATATTGAACTAATGGTGGCTAATACACAAACTGGCAACCCAAAACCCAAATGTGAATGAGGAAAACAGTGGTCACGCTATGAGCTAAACCACTCAAGTTCAGCTTTTATGATATGTATGCTGGTTTATTAATGATTTGTGGTGTAGAGTTGTATTTGTATGTATGTTTTTTTGCATCGTTTAATTGATCTTGGTTGATTTATTATTTATTGTTTATCCACAAAACTCAATTTGTTCGGGAAAGAAAGATATAACATGATGAAAACAAATAATTGCTGCATTACAACCCTTGATAGGCCTTGCCACTGGGGAGTTTCCTGAATACATTTCTATAATATATCCACATTCACTGTATCTCTGGATAGGAATATAAATATTAATTGTTGAACCAAAATCTTGAGTGAAAGATTATTCTGCATAATTTATCATATGTGTAGCAGCATATATACATAATAAACATGCATTATAAATAGTTAATCAGAGTGGGTTAATAAATGGAGCTTACTTAATGTTATCCAGACGACTAGAGTCAGGTTTAAGGGCTGAGGAGTTACGAATCATCTTATGTAATGTCACCATAAGGAACATTAGGTTGAGCTGAGAAGAGAGAAAAGCACAGTCAATTATTTAAATGTCTGTAGGTATGCACGAGACTGTACAATCGTATTCAGAAAAAGTACAGGATAACTAATATTCCAAATACATTCACCAGTACCATGTATATTTGTCATAATAATAAAAAAAAAAATATATATATATATATAGCCACAGTTCAGATCCAGAAGTATTAACGGGATGTAACTGAATTGTTTTTTGACGTTTTTACTGTATTATCCTGATCTAATATCAATAAGTAGTTAGTTAGTATAGAGTAATGATAATGTTATGTGTATTTTTTATCTATTGTGTGTACACCTGTCCTGGAACTGCAGACAGAAGCTAAATCTGGTGCAGCTAAGTCTGGTACATGGTCCCTGAACTCAGCTAAGAATATGATATGAGTTTATAAGGTAAGCCCAATATGACAAGTGATAATTTTTGTTTGTTTTTTCTGATTTATGAAACCTTTCTTTATCCATTGTTACGGTTCCACACGGTCTACTCTATGATACCACATTGGCGATAAAGATTTCTCTCGGACTGTGATATAAAAAATAAGGAGAGAGAAAGAGAGGGGCTAATACCATAATAACAAATGAAACGGGCCCAATGAAGCTCCAGATGAAGTAGTTATCCACTCGGAGCCAGCATCTGCAGTGGCACAGAGGAGAGGAAGACAGTTTTACACACACGCACTCATACACACACACACACACACATCACAGAGCTCACACCACTTCCCTGTCTCTGCGGATTATCTCATGAAAGCTAATCATAGGGCTTTGGCTAAGTGTGTTCAGAAAAAGGCGTTCCACAGGGGAGCGTGCTAGGACCGTTCACACACACTTCTGAATATTACATCTCCGATCATGGGAATAGCATAATCCTGCTCCTCTCAATCTGCAAAGGTGCAAAAAGGCCTGGATTCACACGTACGCTTTCTTGGTCCCATAGCTCCGGTAGTCTATTGCAGCGGAGATGCCCACCACCAGTGCGGGGAAGCAGTACCCGCACAGATAGTAGTACTTTTTGCGTGAATATTCGCTCTCAAAGACTTCGACAAGCATGAGGTAGAGCTGCACTCCTTCCAGACACATCCAGCAGAAGGCGGCCAAGAAGAAGAAATGGAGCAGGCCGGCAAAGATGGGACAGGCGATCTGAAGACAGACCAGAAGAGAGGGAGGAAGATAGAAAAGAAGAAAATGAAAAAAGTTGAAGTATGAATATATATTATTATTATTTAATCATTTTGTTTGTTTAATCTTATCCATTGTTGTTATAGTAGTAAACACAATGTCCAATTTATTTTGTCCATCCTTCAATATGGCCAGGTGCAGTGCCAAAGGGAACTATCTCTAGATCTTGAGCCAGGATTTTGGTAAGGATTACTAAAAGGATTGGCCAACTGCTATTACTTACAGTAAAATCCAAATTGTATGAAATAATGCAAGTGACACCACCTGCCCAGCGCTAGATTACCGTAACACAGTAATTCATTTTGCATATGTATTAGATATGGCCCAACAGTTACCCACACGTGTTACCAGCACAAAGAAAACACTATCTTGTGAGCTTTTGTGCTGGATTAAACTTGATGCAATGAAAATCAAGGTGGTGGAAAATTGGACACATCAATATTTCATTAGAATAAAAGAAGTGCCGACATGTGTGCATATTTTCTGAGAATTCATGTATTATTTCACAGCAGTTTTTATTACAATATGGTGAAATGAAACTCCATCTGTCACCAACAATTTCCTATTTCATTCTGCTGTCTCATAAGGGACATTTTGAAAAAAGGAGAATTTGTAGAGTGTCAGGTAGCAGTGAAATAGTATATCCAGGGCAGCAGTTTATGTTCCAGTGAAGACTGTCGGCAACATAAAATGGGAAAATAATCACAATTGAACCTAGAATGCAATTAGATTACACAGAGGGCAACTCATGTCTCAGAGAGCACTTTTGGGTGTATTGTAAACTGCTTTTAGTCACAGGATCTGGCAATCCAACTCGAGGTGCTCATTTGGCTCATAAGTTTAAGAACCAAAACCTAAAATGTAAACAAAAACAACTAAAACATCATGTAAATTTTTTGTTGTTGTTGTGAATAACATTGTAATTATCATACCTTAAAAGGTACACTAAATAACTTTTCTATTGAAGGGTTCCCAACTTGGTTATCTCAATGGACAGTGTATTACTTAGCCACAAATGTTCCATAGTAAGGCATTAAATTGATCAATCAATCAAAGCATTTATTTAATTATTATTATTAAGTGTCTTTATTGCTGAAAAATATTTTGAAAAACATGATTTCAGTGAGAAAGGTGGTCTCTCTTGTCTCCATGGGAATAAGTATGTTTATCAGAAAAGTTACATCTTTAAACTCCATGATGTGGTTTTGCTTGAGTGCTCCGAGCCCACCTGATAGTCGGTCTTGTCAATGCCGATGAGGAAGAGCAGCTCTGCGATGAAGAGGTTGATGCACAGGTTCTTGTGGATGGTGTTGCGATCAGTCTGGAGTCCACGCAGGAAGCAGAAGGTGGAGATGCAGATGGCCAGGCACACCAGAGAGATGACTATACCCACCCAGGTGATGACGAACAGAATCAGCTCATGCATGCGGCCCTGGTACTGCCCAGACAAGGGGGAGGAGAGAGGAAAAGATGTTTAAAATGTCACCAGAGACGACAAGACGAATGTGGGTGGAATAAGCAGCGGGACAGGCAGAACAATGGGACAGAAGGAGAAGAAAAAAAGTTGATTTACTTAATATTTGTAAATATATGCAAAGAGCTAAAGTGTGGAGACAAGAGAGAAGACAGCGTATTTAAATTCATGTTGTTGTCAGATGCAAGTAGCGCGACATGTATTTGTACGCTTTCCTGAATAACATCAATGGGGACATCAAAACAAAGACCATGTCAACCTACGAATCCATGTGATACTGAAAACCTGCATACATTACTTCTTTAAGGGAAAACAAAAGTATATAAAACCTCTCTTACTTCCTTATAGATTGTTTTATGTATATTTATATTTGTTTCATCTCATATCTTCCTTTTTTGTTTTTGTTGTACGACGTTGAAGCTCGGGAATTGCTATGTTCCATATTGGTAACGACTATTAGATCACTGTGTAGACGTATATAGCTTGAACTCCTCTCAGCAAAAATAATCTGATCAGTTATGTGACCTATACCCAAGTCACCCAAGCTGTGTCGGCTGAGGGACAAGAGCCTTATCCGAGCAAATCGTTTTTCAGAGTAATAAGTACTGGACTGGTGCGCCTGGTTAATTTTGAAAATGTGGAGAGAGATGAACACTCCTGCACTGAAAATGTGGAAGGAGAGGACGATGGACAATACTGTGCATGTAGAAGATGTTAAGGATAAATTATAGTCGTTTAGTAGATTAATCGGTCAATGGTGTTTTTGTCAACCTAATTTTATATTAGTTGACTTAACTAATGGGAGTGAGCGGACTGGATTTAGATGCTGTTTACTATCAGATCCTAATAATTTTTTAAGTTTTGTCAGTGCTACACCCAGCCTCATGTAAGTCAATTAATCAATGCTCAGGATATATCTTATATCAAAAAGAGTCCCATATTAGGAACAGGAATTTATTTATGGACAATATATCAGAATAAAAACACCAGGATCATGTAGAGCAGGTTAATACGAACATTTTTTAAGACCAAAATGATGAGGGGTAAATCATTTTTCAATGTAAAGTCAATTGAAGCCAGAGTCGATGGAGCAGGAGGCACCCCATGCTCCTTATTTGAAACATGGCGACTAGAAGCTTAGTATGTCCATTTTTACAGTCTGTTGTGGGGACATAGAACAATGGAATATTTTTATTTTTATATGTAACTGTCTAGATCTGTAAATGTTAATTCAGATAATGTTACACCCAACTGTTTTTGATATTTGTGATTTTGTTTAGTTTTAATAAATGCTAAAAAACAAACAAACTCATATATACAGGAACATTTTGCAGTCCAACAGAAAGTTTCTAACACATAGCTGAACTCACGTCTGGCTCGTGGCTGGCCATGAGCACGGCGAAGTTGGTGAGGTGGCTACAGGAGCAGGTGGTGTGGGTGCTGTTGGAGCTGAGCAGCCTGCACCCTTGGGACGACCACTGTCCCGTCATGGAGCGTTCCGAGTAGTTCCAGAATGAGCAGTTTGGGGTGTGGTAGTTGTCCATCTGTGAAATCAAAACCAGACAAGTTTAGAGGAACTGGTTTAGTCTATACAAATACATACAGTTTAGACTGATCAGAACTGACAGTGGAACCTCATTTTAATATGTTGATTTCCCAATTCAATCATTCAATACATGAAAGCTAGAACAATGTACTGTATTTTGGGATCAATAATAAGCATGTGTACATTTTCTTTGCAATAATGGGGAGATTTTTGTTATTTTTGTTGTACTTACGATCAGATTTGAGCTGTAGAGGGTTGAATAAGTAACTTTTATGGTTAACTGTCACTTTATTTAGGTTGTTTAGCTCAGCCCTTATAATGTTCATTTTTGTGTCGGTGACATAAAGTAGTTTCAATATTATTTTTTATCGCAATATTACACTGTAGCCATTAATCATGCTTTAACAATTGTTATTGTGACAGGCCTACTTTCCATTTACTGTTCTTTCATTACAATAGTATTATTCAGGCAAGGGACCACTAAGCAAACAAATATTGCACCTTCCAAAGACATATTTTCTGGTTCACTACTGGAAATGGCAAGTATGTATGACAACAGATTTTGAAGTGAAAATCGTAATTTAATTGTAGATACGTAATAAAATACAGCATTTTCAGTTGAGGTTCTCAGTTCTCAGTTTCAAATTTCTATCAACAAAAGCCCATGTTTATTTCCTTCAACAAACCCTGTCAACATATCTATTTCTTTGAAGCAGACTTCACTGGCGCATCTTAGTTAAATGTGCTCATTAATTGATTTTGATCACTAAAACCTGACACTAATCACAATTTAGAGGCATGACTCACAAAGCAAATTATGACAGGGATATTTGTGTAACATGGTGTTTCTCATGTGTTGCTCGTCTGTTACAAAGACTCAGTACAATTTAATTAAAAAAGCTCATTTCAATTTGATAGTCACATCATTTATTGCATTGGAATAACTGTTAAAGTTACAAAACTGGTGTAATTTCCTATTTTTGGTTTGATTTTGTATTTAGTATTTTAAAATTTACTATATTTATATCTATTTATGTTTTTCAGTATTTATATCAGCTAAAATGTTGTGTATTTTCAATTAGGGGTGTGGAAAAATATCAAAATATTGAAATATCATGATTCCAAATTTGGTGATACAATATCATTAACATGAGTGTCTATATCCATATATCACCAAGACTATTTTTTGGTATTTTTTGCATGTTTTATGTGTCTGCACTACAATTTTGGTGCTTGTTTAGTGAAAGAAAACTTGTTTATGCAATACACTTGGCATATTCGCTGTTTTGATGATTAAAACATATGTATTTCATATTAACGTTGCAGAATTAGCGGTTTAACAAAGAAATATGGTTGCTAAAATGTATTTGGCCATGTATTGAGTATCGCATCGTGAGGGACACTGTGAATCCCGGCCCTAGTTTCAATAATAGTTTGAATATGGATTAATAACTGATTTCCGATACTTCTGACAGCCCTACCTGCAAGTGCCGTAATGTGAAGACCACTGGCTCGGTGAGGAACACTCTGCTGGACTCCTTGTTTATGGATGCCGCGATCACGTGGGAATTGACCGCCAGCCGCCTCCGGTCATGGCTCGACTCCATTTCCATTTTTACCGTGGCGTTCTCCGTCGACAGGAATGATCCCAGGTTTTTATAGAGCAGAAACACCACCTTCACTTGCCCTGGACGTGAGTGAAAGATGTAAAAGAAGTGAGGCCCTTTTTAAAAAATGAAAAGGTAGATGCGGTGAGATCAATATATTGTGGTAGGAGGATATAAGAGTAAATGTATGTGCATGAGGGTATAATATGGTAATGGTAGCTGGAGTGACAGAGATAGACAGGGGGAAGTGACATGACTCTGGGAGAGGGAAGACAGAGAGGGGGACTTAGTGAAGGTTGGAGCGATGGTAAAGAGCGTTTCATTTTGACTGGTGCAAGAGAGCTCCATTTAATGTGGAGGGCAACGCTACAGTCATCCCTCAAGCATTCACAGATCTCCTATTATTCCATATGAATATTTCATGTGCATTGTTTCAATCATTCTAATCTCGTTCCCGCCACAGAGCCAGAGCGGAGACAGGGGAGGGGGAGGAAAGGGGGGATAGTGAAAGAGGAGGGGGTGATGTGAGGGGGATAAGATGGCGGAGAGAAGGAAGAGAGAGAGGAACAGAGGAGAGAGAGTGCTGAGATAGCTCTGTCAGACTGTGCACCCGATTGTAATCTACACGCCTCCCAAGCTATTCTATTAAGACTGCTGTTAAGAAACCATCAAGAAAAGGAATAGTCTCAGCGCTTTTGTTAATCTGATTAGCCTATTATTATGAACCAATAACTTAGTCAACTGCATGCAGATTGTTTAAAGCTTTCATGGAAATGCAAATGGCGACATATATGAGAGTGCAGAGGGGCAGGGTGATTTGTCAGGTCTGTGTAAGGGAGAAGAGAGGCGGGAGGTGCTGACCGTTGCGACTGTACTGTTTAATAGTAGAAGCAGAGAGCTGGATGGCGCTGTCGCTGGCGTAGTTTTGAGGGAAAGATAAGTCCTGAAGCTCCATCTCCGTGTTGAGAACATGTACTTCTAAATCTGTAAATGGAAAAAGTTGTTGTAACATGTAATCAATGTGTGTAGCTAGTATACTGAGGTGGGTACAGTTATCTTTACTCCTAATGCTCAGTTCAGACTACGGCATCAAAATCGCACCAAATGCCTCTAGATGAATGCCCTCAAATGCCCCTTTGCATTTGAAGGTAGATGCTTGAAACATGTTGTGGAAACGCCCTCAGTGTAAGAGTATATTTATCATACAATACTTCTACTCAAGTATTTTTATTGAAGTAACTGTACCCTTTCTTGACTGACTCTTCTCACTGTGAATAAACCTATACATTAAGAAAACGTGTATGCTGATTATATGAATTTTTTTGTTTTTTAATTTTGGTTGTTTTTATTGCACTGAAAAAGTTACTGTGATGTTCCTTTGGGTTATAATCTTTCACAGCACAGCGTATCTTTATATTCATATGGAATGTCTCGTCCAGAAAGTTACATACTGTTGGCTTGATTCATCAGCCGGGTTCATTCGTGGAAACCGTCTTTTTAAAATTTTTATTATTATTATTATTTTTTATTTAACCAATCGCTGCTATTTGGTCGTGAAGTATGTAATGCGCAATTAATGGGGCTAACTGGTATATTAAGTTTTTCCGTAGGAAGAAGGGCAATAAAGTCTTTTGCCTTGATAAAATTCACTAAACATTCTCTTTGTTCCAGCTTTAAATCCTCAATCTGGGAATCAGTGCCAACACAGAATATATGGCTGTTTGCTGATTGGCTGGTGCCCGGACTCGCACTTCCGGGGTTCTTGCAAACCGTCTAGTGTATTCCGATTCCTGTCCTAGTCGCTGGAGAGAAATCAAAATGAGCGAAAGCACTAGGTGGTGCCAGCCTGGCTAACATATAGTATCTTTAATTCTAAATCATGAATAATCATGATTTCTATAATCTAAGTTTTACTTCTGCTTGACTAATATAATTCTGTGATTCACGCTTGTTCAGTGATTGGACACTATACCCACCTCTGAAAGTGTAAGTATTGGGCAGGCTTACCGATGCTGGGGGCGTGGTCAGTGAAGTAGTTAGCGTACATGTTGTTGGCTAAAAGGAAGGCCCCTTTCTCCAGGACGTCCAGCAGCATGGTGGCAGTGTGAGCCTGCTCTGTGCTGTTCATGTCCTGCCACGACTCCAGCGCTTCAGGACGTAAAAGGTTATCTACGATCTGAACCACGGCCTGGGAAAAAACAACATAAATAACACAGTTTTTATCTTTTTGTGAGAGGTGAAATCATGAAAAAAAAAAAAAAAAAAGGGAAAGAAAGAAAAGAAAAACTTAAAGGTGCACTATGTAACTTTTCTGTTGGGAAGTTCTGTGCTGCTTTGACCCACCCTGGATTGTTTCACAGTATGGCATTAGCAGGTGACTCCACCAGGCCAAGTTACAGTTCAGATCTTATAGTAAAACGATTCTGAAGGGATAATGAGCAATGAAAACATCGAATCAAAAAGTTACACCTTTAACAAAAAGTTACAGCAATATTACAAGGAAGAACAAATTTGTTGAAAGATTTCCAATGCGAGATTCTGACTCAAAGTTTAGTCAAAGACATAATTAATTCTAGCAGATTCTTTATTATTACAGGACAGACCTTTGTGAATTATTAGCAGATTTGTCCCTGAAGTAGAGCATGACTATTCTGACTTAAATACTACTCAAAATATCCTCCACGAGCTTGAGCTTTCCCTGTTGTTTGTATTATATAGAAAACATTTAACCAATACTTTTCAAGGCCTACAGATATGTCTTCCTTTGAGCAACAGCTTGATTATGTAAAAGAAAAGAAAATATCGAATCTATTCTGTAAACTGTAACTATTTTTATAACTGTACCAAACACACAAAGAACCTCTAAACAAAGACGTGACCAGCACTGAACTTACACTGCAACTTTCTTTTCTTGTCATTCAAATGGCCACAGTGGACTTTAAATCATGATTGGTTTTGTGTCGTTTAATGACTTATTCCGACTTAATCAAGAACAATTCATTAAGAAAGTGCTTTGCATGCAATTCACAGATAAGTGATAACTAATCATGAGACTCTGCTTCATTAACACTGTTTCGGGAAGTGCTATTAACATTAGCAACGTCGTAATTATCAGCTAACGTTTCCATTTGTGCCGTACTCCTACGTAATTAGCCATTGTGTGTACTATTACAAAGGTTCTTATAGAAAGTCTATAGGTGAGGAACAAAGTCACTACTGTGCCACTGTCACTGCGTGTTTTTGGGTTTGCAGAAAGAGTATCTGGAGTAGTAATAATTGTAGTATTTACTAGTAGCCCATTTTAGCCATAGTAATAGTTGCAGGAAACGTAATTGAACAGTTTAGTCCTAGTACTTTAGTTGTTGTAGTAGCAGGAGCAGCAGAAATGCATTCATTGGAGTGATAGTAATAAAAAATGCTTTAGTGTTGTAATGTTTACTGCTACTATTAGTAGTACTACTACTACTACTACTACTACTACTACTACTACTACTACTACTACTACTACTACTACTACTACTACTACTACTACTACTACTACTACTACTACTACTACTACTACTACTACTACTACTACTACTACTACTACTACTACTACTACTACTACTACTACTACTACTACTACTACTACTACTACTACTACTACTACTACTACTACTACTACTACTACTACTACTACTACTACTACTACTACTACTACTACTACTACTATGGCCACTAATAAAACAGAACCTTACTGTTGCTATTGCTGTCTCAACCTCTGACTATCACAATAACAATAACTATTTATGACTGTTATATAATTTAACAAATGGTAAAAAGTAGTAGGGATATGCAAAAATATTGAAATATCCATGGAGACAAGCAAGACAGCAGATCTATGGAGAGGTGTGCTTGTTCACAATTTGTGTACAATGTACAATTTGGTTATTTTCTATAGGGAAACTTGTTCATGCAGTACACATGGCATACTGTCTGTTTTGATGATTAAAATAGATGTATTTCATGTTAACTTTGCACATGTAGTGGTTTAACAAAGAAATATTGTTGCTAAAATGTATTTGGTTCTTAAAAAACAGCAGTATATCACAGTATCATATGCAATATATTGATTATCGTATGTATCGCCATGGCGTGATAACATTGTATCTTGAGCCCTGTATTGAGTATCAAATCATGAGTGACACTGTGATTCCAAGCCCTAAAAAGTAGTAATCTTGCAAAGCCTCTTTGGTAAAAGAAAGAAAAGATGTTCTGCTCTAAAAATCATTTGACTACTTTTTGTACACTTTTGTGTTTATTCAACTTGCCTGGTGATTTAAGAATTACAGACTCTCCAAAATTCAATGTTAGAACAATTTACTGCTGCTAGCTACAATCTTTCTCTCTTAAAACCAATGCAATGTAAAGCTTTTCTTTTAATCTATTTTTTGGCTAAAAAGGTTACATACTGTAGTCTAAACAGTTATTATTTTTAGTAGGCTCAGCCTATTTTAATCTAACACAGGTTTCAGTTTTCTTCAGAACACAAACTCAATATCTCTGATCATTACTTTCACAACTTTTCCAGGTCAGACATCTACTATTCTATTTCACACTTACAATTCATTTAATGGCCATTCGGACGCCTGTATCCACTATCCAATTTGTTGAAGTAGCCGGCTTGATGAATCGGGTAATTCTCCTGCTCAGGCCTCTCAAAATGAAGGATTGACTGTTGTGAAATCTCTTTAAAATGAATTTAGCCTTACAATATTCACCCTATCTTGTGTAGGAGAAGAAGACTGTATTTTTTTGCCTATATCTTTTCATCTTTGTGCTTATGCTGCAGCTGGTGACAAAACAAATAGCTGGCTTGCTTACTACGCAGGAGCCTTTGCGTTCATTTTGCAGCAAGATCTGAAGATGGGTGTCATATTACGGCTTAGACTGCAGGCAGGTCAAGATACACAGAAAAGGCACTAGCGCATACTCTGCTACTGCATCCCACATCCCTACACACACACACATACATACATAAGACCTTTTTCATCATATTAGATTACTGCTTTCTCAGAAGTACATATATTGCAATCATACTGAAAGAGCAGAGCAAGAGGGGGCGTAGTAGCACAAACTGTTGCCTTCTATACAGTGAGTAAATTGCATTTTCTAGAAGGCAAAGATATTGTGCTGTTTTGTGCATCACAAATAGGGCCAATATTACGCAGTCAGTCTCGATCGTAGGAGCAAAAGGAAAAAGTGAGATTATAGGGTAGTGGCATATGGCTGCTGGTGTTAACTCAAAGATCCTATATGCTGAATATGAGAAAAGGACTGTACTCCAGGGAAATGCAACTGCAATATGTTGATATAGTAAGGAGCAAAACAGTTATATTAGAAAATCCTCATTACACAACTACTTTGAATACTGATGTGCTACTACAAGTACAAGAGCTACTTCTTCATCAACCGTTAATACTACTAGACAAAGAAGTTTTAATGAAACAGAACCTAATAGTAGAAAGTAATTACTGCTACTACCACTGCAGTTTATGGTACAATTCACTGAAGACACTTTACCTGATATTTATTGTAGTCCATATGGTTTAATTAATATAAAAAATAATCACAGCACTTATTATACATATGTTTTTTAAATATATATACTTGATTGTGTTGAATTTTATATTTCCTGTTTTTTATTCAAAGTATACTTCAACATTATAAAAGTGCACTGTATAACATTTCTGGTAGAGGGGCTGTCACCTGCTTGACTCCATGTTGTTTTTTCCTGAAATGTTCTACACTACGGCATTAAATTGAACTATCTCCATGGAGACAAGCAGGATACATCACCAGGCCAAGTTTCTAGGAACTAGGGGTGTGCAAAAATATCAAAATATCAATATATCGTATCGTTTAATGTGATGATACAGTATATATACTGTATACTGTATACTGTATATATATATATATATATATATATATATATATATATATATATATATTGATGAAAAATGGGCTACTGGAACACGGCGGAAATGGGCGAGATGCGAGAACAAGGCTCTGTTGGATGCTACTACTACAGTAACCCTAGGCAGAGGGGTTACATGAACAGGATGTGGGAGAAATGGTTATTACGATACCCACAGTCCAAGCTAACGGCCAAACACTAGTAGCTCAGTGTTCCAACATCCACAAACGGCAACTGCTATCACAACTAGAGATTGATGAGGTACAACACAAATGCCACGGCAAGGGGGAACCAGTGTGCCAGGTCAGAGGGAGTTGACACAACTCCCCAACCAGAGATTGGGTACGAAACCCCAATAAGTATCACGCTGAGCGAGGCAGCGACTGACCTGAAAGATAAGATCATGGCCCGAATGAACACATGAGGCTAAGTGAAGTACCATCTGAAAGTTCCTAGACGATGTGAATGCAGCACTGACAGTGATCCCTACCACAACAATCACTGAAACCAATGAGCTGATATACACTTCAGCAGCAGTGATCCTAGGCTATAAGAGCAACCATGGGAGCCATGCGATACAATACCCACCATGGCAAAGACGGTTAGAGGCTAAAATCAAGGAGGTGCGGAGAGAAGTGAGCCAACTGTCAGAGGCCCAGAAAGGTGCAATGAAAAAGCAAGTGCCCAAGAGGTACAACCAGTTGCCCATACCTGAAGCACTCAAAACTGCCAAACTAAGGCTCCAAGCCTTGGCCAGCCGCCTAAAGAGGTACACACGAGATAACGAGGCCAGACGAATAAACCGGCTGTTCGCAACACAACCGGCGAAAGTGTACGCTCAGTGGCAGGGTAATAACAGCAGAGCATACCCACCAAGGCTGGAGACTGAGAGGTACTGGAAAGGCATATGGGAAAGGGAGGCATCACATAACACCGATGCACAGTGGCTGGTGGATCTGAGAGAAGACCACAGCAACCTCCCTGAACAAAATCCATGGTATGAAAAACTGGACCGCACCGGGCCCTGACATGATCCATGCGTACTGGTTAAAGAAGCTCACTGCCCTCCACGAGCGCCTGGCAGCACAAATGAACCAGCTGCTAAGGGATGGGACTCACCCTGAATGGTTAACCCAAGGGCGTACGATCCTGATCCTAAAGGATCCTTCAAAGGGTGCAGTCCCATCCAACTATCGGCCAATAACCTGTCTCTCCACAACATGGAAGCTCAT